CGCTCCGACAGCCTGACAGAAAAAAATAAAAGCATACAGCTTCAGCTGCTCACAAGATCGCTAGTTTAAATCAGGAATAAAATAGTTGGGTCTTGTTTGACTGAAGTTCGGTCCAGTTCGCATACATTTCAACCTCTTTGGACGTTTACCTGTATAAAGAGCCCTAAAAATCCATAAATTTTGCAAAAAATCCTTACAATAAATGTTACAAAGTCATTTTCTTCTCATTAAACACACAGGCTCCAGTACACTCTCAGAGTTGGTGATCCCAGTTTTTGCAGCCARTGTTCGTACACTATCACATAAATGTACAGGATGTAAACAAGAACTGCACTGTTGTTTGTCCCGGGAATAAACAGAAGCCACACACAGACCGCAGCTTGTCCCGGCTTGTTTAGGAGGTGCTGATGCTCTCCTGGAGTCCTGGCGCTTCACACGAGCCAGCACAAACAAGTGAATAAACAACTGCTCCAATAAACCCCACCTAATACCCCTGAGGAATATTAAGAGACTTTAGCTGCTGGAAAAGTGAGTGTGTTCTGCACAGTGAACACAGCTGAGGTAGAACTGAGCCCAACTATATAACCAGGAACTAAATCTCTCAGATTCTGCTACAATTCTTAATAAAATAACCATTATTAAAAGTCTTATTCCTATTTTTTTTTTTGCATCATTTGGTTTGTCATTTGCCCCAGCTGGTGGAGAAGCTGACGAGTATAGCAGAGGAGTGTCAGAGTGCCCAGCTCAAAAAACTCAGAGACATCTGTGAGAAGTAAGGTTGTTTATTTACCGGTGCACGCTCCTACTAATGCAGACGAATCCTGCCGTGGTTTAAACCTTTCACCTCCGTCGTCTCGTTCTGGACAGAGAAAAGAAGGATCTGAAGAAGAAGATGGACAAGAAACGGCAAGAGAAGATTAACGAAGCCAAATCTAAGGACAAGAATCTGACAGAAGAGTAAGAATCGGAGAATGTGTAAATTGTCACAACTACCACAAGATGTCACTGTTAACTAATGTTGCTGCACTGTTTGTCAGGGAGAAGCTGGAGATCAACAAGTCTTTTGTCAATGAGGTGGTGCAGTATATTAAAAGGGTAAGCAATAAACAAAACTAGATTCTTTTTATTTATTTGTACTCACGGTGTATTATTTGAAATGTAAAGTCCACATCCTGTGTGTGTGTGTGTGTGTGTGTGTGTGTGTGTGTGTGTGTGTGTGTAGTTGGAGGATGCTCAGAGCAAAAGACAGGAGAGACTAACAGAGAAGCACAAGGACATCCGGCAGCAGATCTTGGACGAAAGGCCAAAGGTGAGGCTGAAATTGATTATGTTGACACCTGCTGTGTCTTTTGCATTTTCCTTGACAAAACAAAATATCTGGATTATTCTTGTTTCAATCCAATCAAAAGCTCCAAGTTCATTTTGATGACCTGAACTTTTGGTCTAAATCATCAAAGAAAATCTGTGAGACTAAAATGCTGTCAGTGTTTGTGGAATTAAGATAGCTTATTTCTAGAGAAGTCCAAACTTCTGCAGATGTGTTTAGGGTGAAGGCTGAATTCTGTATAACTGCTGAGATTTCTTTAGAAGCTGATAAGTGGTTAAAGTTAAAAGCAGCAAAACACTTGCCCACACTGACCCACTGTCCTGCATATTTCACCTGATTCTCTGCTTCGGCTCACCTGATTCAAACTAATTAAATTACCTACTCAGAACGTCATCTAGTTTAGCAGAAACCTGTCAATCACTTATTCRTTTCAGTCGTGTGTGTTGAAGCAGGGAAACATCTACACAGTTAGCCAGCATGTTCTCCTTGCTTCCCTTCTCAAACACACCTGATTTGCATGAATGGATGATTAACAGGCATCTACAGGATTTGAGAACTAATTGAATCAGTGATTCAGGTGTGTTGGAGCAGAGAAACGAGAAATAATAGACACTTTACAAAAGCATTTAGGGAGCAAATCAATAAAAATTATAATTAAAAAAACTAAATTGATTAATAAAGTTTGAATGTACAGTTATAATATAAACAACAACAATTTAGAAACACTTAACATCTGAACCACACTCCATACCAGTCGGTGGCAGTAACACACACCAAAAGTCTTTTGCCAACTGCCAAAAAAAAAACCCAGAAGAAGAAGAAGAGAAACAAGGAAAATATACAGGATAGCAGCGCTCGATGACTTGAGTTTGACACCCCTGAGAACAGGACTGAAGACCTCTGCACTAGCTAAAAGCTAAACTAGCTAAAATACTTGCAAAGATAGCAAAATGCTATTGAAAAGTAGCAATAGGCCAGATAAAAAGTTAAAAGTAGCAAAATGCTAGCTACTACCTAAAAGCAGCAGAATGGTTAGCTAAAAGTTGAGAATAGAATAGAAGTTGCTCACTGAGTGTAAGAGATAAAAACATGTCATAGAAAGAAAAAATACAGTATAAGAAAATAAAAATACAAGTAAAGTATTAAAAAACTTATTTAAACACATGACTAATAATTACAGGAATAATAACTCTTCAGATGTGCAACATTAGCCAATAAGCACCAGTTTTCCCTTATTGTGATAATTTAGTTCAGTTCTGCTCCTTGAACACATCTGAGTCTGATAATGTGAGTTTTGACAGCCCCATAGCGCCTCCCATAAGGTAAGAGATGTTGGCCTGAATGGGTCACATCTTTTAGGATGTTGTGGCTTCTGTGGAGGCGATGAGTTCTGAAGATGATTTTCTCAAATGTTTTTATGACACCTTGGAGACTTTGTCTGTCTCTGTGCAGTTCACGTAGCACGCTGTTACACAGTATGTGAGCACGCTTTCAGAGGAGCAGTGGTAAAAATGCTCTGCAGAAAGRTTGCTCTGTTTTAGTGTTCATAAAAAGCAGAGCTGCTGTCGAAGCTTTTTTTTTACCATGGCAGAGGAGCTGTTTGACCATTTCACGGTCATCACTGATGACCTCAGATATATAAACCTGGAGACTTGCTCCACTTCCTGTCCCCTGATAGTTAGAAACAGCTAGCGTCAAATGGAAAAAGGTTGGGTAAAAGGCTAAACAAACAAACAAACAAAAAGTAGCTATAGCTAAAAGTAGCAAAAAGCTAATTTGTAGAAGAAGGGGTAAAAGCTGAACATAGCATAAAAAGTCTAAAATAGAGTAAATATTCAAATGTGATGACGTTTCTAAAATAATCGAAGACATCTCAATCTGATTTTATGGAGAAAATATTTATAAATTAAAATATTTTGTAGAGTTGCAAAAACCAAAAGTCATAGCACCTGTCTTCTGAATGAGCTGAACATTTTGATATATGAATTGCTAAAATAAAATATGCGTATGTAGTAAGATTGCATGAATGTACAGAGATGTATACAAACATTAGTGTTCACACTATTAGTGTTAATATCCACTGTAACTGCTGCAAAACTGCAGTAGCCTATTTACTGTAAAGTGTGTTTAAAAGAAGTACTAATGTTAGTGATTTTACACAGATCCGGGCTCCTACATACAGTGCTGTTATAAAGAGAAAAATATCAGTGTATGGTGGAAACAACTTTTCTTCTAACAAAACCAGTTTCATCGTTTCATGTTTCAACCACTAGGTGCCAGTCTGAGCCACATCTTTTGTAATATAATGATTCAAGTACAAAAACAGAAGCAACGTGAAGTGACCCTTCTTCCTCAAAATAATTTCTGAGTGTTTTGTTACTTTTTCCCGTTGTGTTTCTCATATCAGACTCTTTTCATGTAAGGCTTTAAATCAACAGCTGCTGTGTTGTGTTCAGTGTAAACTTCATCAATATGAAGACAAGCTGTTGGAAATTGATTTAAGKGCCTAATCATATATGGTTGCCTTGCTCTGGTTGCATCAGTCCTTGGTTTTTATTGATGGGCTCTCTGGACTCGAGCTGTAATGCCATCATACTCTGCCGCYGCTCCTCTCATTTATGGTCTGCTTGGTGCTTCGCTGTTTGTTTTTTTTTCTATTTATTTTTCTATTTTTTGTTTTCATGTTTTTTACTGTCATTGTAGGAGGATTACACTGCTGTGGAGCAGGGTAAGAACTGTTTTGGATCCCATTGTTGAAAACTAATACAATAAAAAAGTGGCAGTATTAACCTGCAAGTAACCACTCTTGGGCTAAGTTCACACTGCAGGCAAAAGTGATCCAAATCCAGACTTTTGCCCATATTTGACCCATGTCAGTGCAGGACCGACACTGACATATTTAGAAATAAAAGCAGTAATACATAAAAGGACCGATAATTATATAAATTCACTTAAAATGCACCAATTAAATTAAAAAAGGAGAACTTTACCTAATGTTTTATAATTTAATTGGCCCAGCTCAGTTCCAATAAATTATATATTTTAGCTCATAATTTATTTTTTAAGGTATTTTAAAACACTGTACTGCCTCAGTTTAGCTTAAAGATTGAAGTTTAGTTGTAAACAAAGGGACATACAAGTGTTTTCCTCCTTGCCTTTGTTTTAAACTAAACTTCAAGCTAAACTGAAGCAGCACAAGCATGCACAGCTGATCTGCACGTGGATTCTCCTCCTTCCTGTCTGTTGGCCAATAAGAGAGAAGCGGACCCAAGAAGCTCCGCCCACCTTATTTACATAATGAGGCAGAAATGCATAAGGTAAAGTAAAAGTAGGAGACCAAGAAATCTAAAACCAGCACATGGAAATAAAAAGACTTGTGGGGGGGAAATAATACAAATAATTAAATATAAACATTTAAGAAACACAGATGCATTTACAAGTAAAAAGAAAAACAACAAATATATATTTTTAAAAACAAATGATGTGCTAAAATTTATAATTTATTGGTCCTTTTATATATTTGGGCCTTTATATCTAATTGTCAGTTTTGGTCCTCCATCCATGTCAGATTTTGAAAGTCTGAATGTGACTAAATAGAATTTTTTTTTTAAATCCAACCTTGGTATTTTTGACAAAGGTAACATTCAAAATCCACTTTTTTAGCTTTTAAATGCATTTTCTTATGTATTTGGAGTCTCTAGGAGTGCAGAAAAGTTGAGTTTAGTATCTCCTGTTGCTCTATAGATACAGTACTGTATCTATA